ATGAAGGAGATTTGCGTTTAAATGAGTGAAACGAGAACTCGCATCTGCATTCAAAACTGCTGTCACAGCGACTGCCCAATTAAAATGCAGGAGAATTTATGAGGGAATGTAAATACCCAAACAAAGCCAGTGGCATGTGAGACATCTCCACGCTCCACGCTGGATTCACATGCCATAATTATTACCAAAATCGAAGTCACGCCTGTCACAGATGAGGAGGAAAATAACAGCATCCTTTGAAACAACGATCCCTGTGGTGCACAACAGCACATGCAGCAACCAAACAGACTGTTTAAAGCAATTAGATGCTCAGACAGCGTGTTATAGGAGGGTTCACTGGGTTCATTCTGGCAGCAAAAATGTATAAACAGATATGTGGCTGCACAATGGCCATGCAATCCTATATTAAATCATTGATATGCCAGATGCCTTCATACATTTTCACAAATTAGAGCATAAAACCTCCCAAGTATTTATACATGTCTAGTGGAAGGGAAATTATGCATGGCTTCTGTGTTCTTTCCTTATCCTTATTTGTATGGACTTTTAGAATTAATTTTCCCCTTCCTCTGCAAATTAGCTCAAGCTACACATCAGTTATCTAGTCATGACAAAGGTTAATACTTGAATTTAGGGCTGGACTTTGACTAGGCCAATCTAACACATGCAAAAAGCTTTGCTTTAAACCATAAGCCGTTGCTGTGGAAGCTTGTCTAAGGATGCTGTCCTGCTAGAAAGGGAAACTTCTCTTTCAGCCTCAAGTCTTTTGCAGTTTTTACAGGTTATGATGACTGCTCAGTATCTCCATCCTTATTATTTTCCATGCTGATCTATTTAAGTGTCTGTGCTAACAAAAAAAAAAATGAAAAATTATACCCCAGCATCCATCCCTTCATGCATCCATGGTTTTGTCTCTGTATTACCGTAAGGCTTGCAAATTCATGTGATTTTAGAAACAATGTTTTTCTTCCATGTGCCATTCTAGACAGGGGCCAAAAAGGGGCAGTGCCCCTGTAGAACTGGTCCTGTCCCCTGTTCTGGCCTCAGTACTGAAGACATAATGCTAAAAAAATACTGCTGATGCCATGTGCTGGAACAAACATGGTGAATGATAGCTTTCTTTGACCTATTCCATTTGTTTTATTTACAGTTGTGGTTATATTATGATTTTTAAAATGAAGGTGATAGCTTCAGCCATAGGATCAGATTTTTCATCTCCTAAATACCGTATTTTCACGACTATAAGGCGCACTTAAACGTCTTTTTTTTCCCTCAAAATGTGCGGTGCGCCCTATGGTGCGGTGCGCCTTATGTGTGTTGTAACTGCGACTTTTGAGACCACCTCATTGAGGAGATGATGAAAGAGTGGCTGAATGTAAGGAGACCAGGTGTTTTTTTTCCACCCCTCACCATCGCTGTTAATATGTAACTCCATGCGTGCCCATCTCACAGCTGATGTGAAAAACATGGGGAAACAAATTAACGCTGCTCGACATCGGTGTGAACCGGACCCAGCAGGTGCAGCAGAAGCAGCGAGTTTACATGCAAAGTCAATGGTTGACGCGCATATAGGTGCAGCAAAAGGTCCCGCAGCGCATTTTGGTGCAGCACGTCGGGAGCGTTTAAGCATCTGAAGCGCCGCGCTTCTGCTGCTCGAGATGGAAAAATTGAAGTTTTGCTGCTGGACGCGCCGCATCAACCAATCAGAGAAGCTGATCTGGGAGCTGCCAGCGAGACAGACAGCGCTCTGATGACATATGATATTAACGCAAATGGAAAAGGCTGGATGGATGCGTGGCTGAGGCAGGTGTATGTGAGAAGACTAGGTGGTTTTTTCCACGCATCACCATCGCTGCGTGCCCATCTCACAGCAGATGTGAAAAAAAGGTGAATCAAATGAACGCTGTGCTCGCCGTTATCCCGGGGGTCTGACAAAGGAGCTTCAACCGCTCGACATCGGTGTGAAGCAGCCGTTCGAAGTAAGGCTGCGAGCGGCGTGGGAGCGATGGATGACCGACGGAGAGCACAGTTTCAGGATAAGAAGGCAGCGCCGGGCAGATTACGCCACAGTTTGCGGATGGATTGTAGATGCTTGGACTAAAGTGTCTGCTGGCTCTGTTGTTCAAGCTTTCGCAAAAGCCGGCATTATTTCTGAGGAGCCGCGCTGCACGGAAAGTGACTGACAGCGAAGAAGGGGAAACTGGCATGTCTAATTTAGCGCAGCTGTTTTATTCAGAAACAGAGGATGATGACTTTGATGGGTTTGATTAATACTTTGTAATAAATACATGAATAAAGCACAATCATACTCAGTTTTGCTCCCGCTGTATTTTTCTCCCTGAAAACTTAATTCAACAGCATCCCCGGCGCGTCTCCTCCTCTTCATCGCGGTGGCTGGCAGGTGTTTTTTCATCTAAATAATCTAAATCTTGCAGCTATATTTGCTGTGATCAGTGGGAATAAAGTAGTTTTAATATGTTTTTAAGTGAGAAAGTCCACCTGAAAACTTAATAATTGCAGTCAGTTCATCCAGATTATCTATTTCTGTCGGAGGCGCTCAGACCCCCACATACCAGCGGTGCGCTGACAGCAGAAATCTCTTCATCAGCAGCCTGTAGGCTGGGCAGCCTGGGGTTCACCGCGGCTGCTGGCAGGTGTTTTTCATCTAAATAATTTTAGCTGCAGGCACCAGGATACCGGCAATAAAAGCGAACATATTCCGTCAGCAGGTTTCAGGATTTTAAGTTAATTTAGGAGTGACCACAGCGCTGTGTCATCTGCGATGTGTCTGTCTCACGGCCAGCTGCCAGGTTTGATTAATACTTTGTAATAAATACATGAATAAAGCACAGTCATACTCAGTTTTGCCCCCGCTGTATTTTTAAATACGCAGTAGAGGTATTTAAAGGTAGTAGAGGACTTGTACCTGTATATAAAAAACGCGCCCTATAGTCCGGTGCGCCTTATGTGTGCGTTAAATACAGAAATGGGACACATAACTGAGAGTGCGCCTTTTAGTCCGGTGCGCCTTATGGTCGTGAAAATACGGTAGTATTTTGACCCACCCGAAAAAAAACTCAACTTTATTACAGCTGAATAGATCAGTTTTACTTATCAGTTCTATTTCTTATTTGATTAAAGCTAGAGATTTTCATGTTATATAAATAGTTATATATGTTACAGTCCTGAATTATCATTGTAGCTTTATTTTATCTGTAAATAGATGAATATTTGCAGGCAGCTAATTATTTGTGTTAACTTTTTTCCACTGAAAGGGATTTTTAATTTTAGGTAAAGTAAAATTAACTATGTTCAAACCAAAAATACAAACTTTCAATTGAGAAATAAACAACAAAAAAATTATACTACGTCGAAATTTCCCTTAATTTAGCACACAGCCACAAGTAGTTTTTGGGTTCTGAGGTTCTCTTTAAAAATATTTTATCATTTGAATATAGTTTCATTCTCACCCGTAGACAGCTGGAGAAAGGCACCAGTACCCCTTGTGACCCCGCTTGGCATTAGCATGACGGATAATGGATGGATGGATATACTTTAATATCATTTGAATATACTTGAAATGATAAACCATTGCCCTGATTTTTGTTTGATGGTTTTCTATGCCCCATGAAAACACACTGGCCATCTCTACAGCTTCTCAAGAGTCACCATGAGTTTTTTGCTGCATCTCCAATAAATGCTCTCCCTGTCTAGCCTTACAGTTTAGCTGAAATGCTGTATCTGTCTCTTAAGCTATGGAACAATTAAAAATGAATAATATCTGAAATGTTCTATTCAATCCAGAAAGCCAAATAGAAAGTCATTTTTACTTTTAAGGCTTGCAGATAATAAAAGCCCATAATGCTGTGCCTCAAGAAATCAGGATATTGTGCAAAAATGTGAATAGTGGAAACTCATGGTCACACTCAGCCAGTTCTTCAACACACAACACCTGAAAGGTTTGCAGAGCCTCAGATGGTCTCCTATTCTAGATCCTTAGGCTGCACAGTCATGGAGAAGACTCCTGGCTGGCGGATTTTGAGCGAAATCTACTCCTAAATAGATAAACGCTAAAATAAACGCACTATTCAAAGATGAATCCTTTCATGACCCAGATCCAGCATCAGAAGAACCTTACCTAGGCTAAGGGCAAAAAAAGGTTGAAAAAAAAACAAAAAAAGAGCTGGAGAGCTGCTCAGTGGTACAAAGTACTTTTAAAAAAAAGAAGAAATAACATTGGCTTTTTATTTGTAAATCAAGGTCCCAGAGTTAGAATTCAGAGGAAGATGTGAGAGTATCAACTTTGTGTCATATTTACATTAGCATTATATGTAGACCAATATTATAAATAATTTAACATAGACTTAGACGGATTTATTTTCTCATTTTGTGTTAACAAATGTAAGCAAAAAGAAATTTAGTTTAAAACAGCCCTAGACAATTTAATTTTTTTAAAGTGCAGCCTTGAAAAACAGCAATAAATAAATTTTAAAAACTAGTAATGTAACCATATGACTGTATATTTACAGTTCTAACATTATTTTATTTTTTTGTACAAGTTCAGTCTGTCTGTCATTAAATCATTAAATTAAACATCTATTTTCCCCTTCTAATTTTGTTTTAAAACGTGTTTGTTTAATTATTATTTTATCCATTGTAATCGAATTGCCAAATCCCCCCAAAAATCATTTAATTTATCAGAATTTATCCAAATGTATTCTTATTTTCATTCCGAACTGATTACCAAATTAGTCTGAAATCAAATAATTATTTATTTTCTTATTTCTGTAATTGCAAAATTTGTAACGTTGTACCTTCTACCACCCAATGGTGGCGTCGTGTCGCTCTAACATGAAACAGGGAAAAAAAGGCCCTTTTTAAACTGAAGGCAGTGACAATGACGTTAAATAAATTGCCGGAGATGTTTAATGCGCATGCGTATTAAACAGCAATCTGCAGGAGCTTCCGGTATGAACAGAAAGATGACGTAGCCGTCCTCTCCTAGAAGATTTCCTTGGCAACATGGAGACAAAGGCCTGCCCCTTTTTCATGAGGATTTCTCCGCGGCCAGCGTTACTTTACGTGTAATCAAGATTACTAAATCGGATTACGATACTTTTATTGTATTTTAGCTCGTGGTTTTTGGCAGAAATTGCGTTTGAAATGGATGGGTTTCAGCAAGAGACCTGCGGGGAAACTAAATCGGCCATTACCAGCTGGCGTTATCGCCACCATTTCACGTACAAGGCTGATCAGGGTAAAAATATAATCGTCCAATGTAATCTGTGCCTGCCGAGGGTTAATCTGCTGTCCACGTCGAAAACCTCCACGTCAAACCTAAAGAAGCATTTAGACGTAAGTCAGAGTGAAGCAGTGGGAATGGGAAGACCTGCAGTTCAGTTTGTGTTAATGTTTAAATATCGAGTCAATGAATGAACAGCTCCCCTGGTGACATTACACATGATCCAATCATGGCGCCGCAGACTCCTCTAAGGAAATAAGTGGCTTTGTTGAAGAATTATATCATCTTTGCAGTTTTTCTTTTTTCTAAGTTGCACAAAGTTAGAAAACAGCCACCCTGAAAACATATCAAATTTTTTCATCTTTTCCCACAGAGAACACACCTGGGCTGTGAGGCAAGGCCGGATGCAAAGAGAGGAAGGAAAAAGGAGGAGTACAACGGTGAGGAAAGCAGACACTGTCAGCTTAAAAAACTCAAAGCGGAGATCATCTCAAAATGTCTGACGCAGTCCAAGATCGATGACCTCATCTTCAGCTTTATTGTGGAGGATTGTCAGTCTTTCTATGTGCTGGACCAGCCTGGTTTTCAGAAACTGATCAGCGGTTTGACAGAGGGGCTAAAGGTCATGGACAGGGTGAGCCTGTTCGCTAGAGTGGACTATGGCCTCTCCAGAATGCGGGAGGACCTGCTAGCCAAGCTCAGAGGCGTCCAGTATGTATGCACCACGGCGGACATCTGGACAGCTAACGACAGGAGCTTCTTTGGCATGACGTGCCACTGGATCGACGCAGTGACTTTGGAAAGGAAGTCCGCTGCCCTGGGGTTCCCACGGCTGCAGGATATAATCACGTATGACTCCCTCGCTGGGCGGATACACGACACCCATGTAGCTTACAACATAGAAAGTAAAGTCCAGACCACGGTCACAGACAACGCCAGCCCTTTTGTCAGCGTCTTCAAAGAGTTTGTTGGGGACAGTCAGGAGAGGGACGATGATTTTGGGGTCTTTGAGAATGTGGGCTCCATACTTGAGGGTGAGCCAGAGCAGGACATGCTGTTGTTCTTACCCCCTGTGCAGCGCTGTGCATCACACATCCTGGAGCAGATAGTCACTGAGGACTTTTGGCAGGCCATCTCACAGGGGCCCATGTGTCAGCTGCATTACAGCTCAATGACCAAGGTGTTCTCAATATGGAGCAAATGCCACCACCTTCAGGTCGGGATGAATGTAGCGGAGGAAATTGGAAAGATGGCGCTGGTCGTCCCAGCTGTTATTCGTTGGAACGTGGAGTACTGCGCTGTGCAGAAGATGGTCTCCCTCAGTGAGCGGGAGCTGACGGAGCTCTGTGCCCGTCTGGAGGTCCCACGCCTGCAGCCGGAGGAATCGGCCTTCCTGAAAGAATACGTAACCGTTTTCCACCCTCTTGCGTTTGCCCTTGAACTTTTCCAGGCTGAGCAGAAATGTTACCTTGGTCTTGTCATCCCAACCGTCTTGAGCTTGAAGAACAAGCTGAACGAGCAGAAGGACGCGGCCAACTACTTCAGCGAAGTCATCAACAGCATCGTCATGGCGATCGATGTTCGATTTCAGGAAGTTTTCTCCAGCACAGAGGCAAGGATCGCCACGGCAACGACCCCTCAGTTCCGTCTGTGGTGGATGCCGGCCTCAGAGAAGGACGAGATGTGCTCCCTTCTCACCACCGAGGCTTCAGAGGTGGACCCATGCAACGTGGACGAAACCAACACCAGCCGCAACCCATCCACCATAGAATCTGAGGACGACTTCTTCAGCTACGGGTCTCCCAAGACCTCCACCCAAATCCAGCAGCGAGGAGTGAAGGAAGAGATCCGCAAGTATGTTGAGGGAACAGGGAAGAGCCTCGAGTGTCTGCAGGAATTCCCCAGAGTGAAGCAACTTTTTCTTAAATACAACACCCCTCTGCCTTCGACGGCCCCCGTCCAGCACCTCTTCAGCCAGAAGAGCAACCTCATGACCTCACAAAGAAACTTTCTTACGGATGACTACTTTGAACGCATCCAGCTTTTACGATACAACAGTAACATCTGTCCTTTGATAACAGAATGACTTTTTCCCCACAGCCTTTCAAGTCGTACAGTTAAACCCTAATACGCTAAGTCATCGTTAAATATTATGAATATCTTATATAAGGCACTTTAAGCCAGATTTATTTTTACATGTTTCCATCTCTTCCTGTTTTTATATATCAAGCATAAGAGAGACCAACGATCATCATAACACCATTGGTTCCAACAGTTAGGGAACAAATAAAAGTCAAATTTCTCTTTCAGTTTTTTGCCATCCCTCCCCTAAGTTCACATGTTGGATGTTGAGGCTGAATGTCTGTTCAAATTTGAGAATAAAACTGATTTGGCTGTTCAAACTTTTATTTTATTTTTTTGCATAAGGTAAAATGTCTTTAGTACTTGTACAATACCAGGCTATACTCAAATGACAATAAAAAGAAAGGGGGCATATTTCCTCAAATAATTACAAAGTAGAAAAACTAATACAGTTAGATTTGAATTCATTTTAAATTCATTTTTTTTAAATGAGCAACAGCCTGCTAGGAAGTGAAGAAGAGAGGGAAAAAAATACTCTAGATGAAGAAAACATTTGTGCTAATCAGGCGTGGTCTTTTAATTACTCTCGTTATGAGAAAAAGGTTAAATGTGCAGTCTGTGGGCAGAGGTGTCATGTAAAGTACAAATACTTTGTTACCTTAAGTAGAATTTTCAGCTATCTTCACTTTACTGCAGTCATTTTTTTTTTTTTTTTATTCTAATCATTACATTTTTTTTTGCAATCATCTCTACTTTCTACTCCTTACACTTTGAAAACAAACTCATTAGTTTTGTTTAATTTAAGCCAATTGTTCTTGTGGCCTGTTTGTATTTAAAGAAAAATAAAAACCATCAAAATAATTTGTTTAATCCACACAATTAATTTTGTTGTGGTTGGACTCGGTTCTGCGCCAACTTGTTCACCACATACCAAAATAAATACGTTTTCAAGAGGATGCAAAGTTAAAATTGACACTTTTACCATTAGTTATAAAACTAAGAAAATTAAGTTTAAGGAAGTCACCATCCAGAATTGTAGGAAAATCTTTAATAGGGTGGTACAGTAGCCAGTCTAAGGTTCAAAGCAGCTTTCCTTATCATTTATCCTGCATTACTTTTATACTTTAAGTACTATTAAAATGGTACTTTCACACTTTTACTTGAGTAAAAAGGTTAAGTTGATACTCTCACTTCTACAAAAGTGTTTTTAAATAGAAAGATTTATACTTTTTCTTGGGTAATAAACATTAACACTTTTGACACCTCTGTCTGTGGATCCATCAAACCTGGACTCAAGGTTTGGCAATATTCTTCCACAGTAGATGGCAGTAGCAACTACTGACAGCTTAAGCATCAGAATAAAAAAGTCTTAAAGTATGAAGACAAAATAAAAAAAATCAAAAGACAGGGGAGCCAAAGAATAAGGTGAAAATAAAGGTAAAAGCACAACAGACACCAGAGGCTGCAGACTCACCTCGTGCCTCTGTTAGGGCAGCCATGCAGATGCATATTGGTTTGTTAGCAGAAGGACTTGAACATGTAAAGAAATGTTTGCACCAAAGGTGCGCCTCATGCCAAGGGACAGTTCATTAAACTTTGGCAATGATCCAGAACATGTACGAGTTCAAGCTAAAATCACAATATGGGTCTAAATGTGCTTGCATTCTCTGCATTCTCTGAGTGCTTTTCTACTTTCATATCAGATCAACATCTTGCAGACTCACCTGCACCTTAATTCAACAGAGAATGAGAATTGAAATAGGCTTAAACCCCATCATAAATATTAACAGATGTTTTTTTGTGTTCTATTCCAACATTAAATTATATTTTACTATTCTACAATAGTGCTTTAATTTGTTGTTTTTTATCTTATGTTTATAACCCCAGGGAGGTAGGTGTGTTTTTTTACATAAAAAAATCAGTGAAAACTCACAGGGGTGAATACAAACTGTAGTAAACACGTAGGTTTATTGTGAAGAAGTTTGAAAACTATTAAAATAAAAGTGTTAGATAAGCTGAAACATTAAGTGCTAAAATCACCCACATTATCGTCCACTTCTGCTCCTCCTTAATGGCTTAATGAGAACATTTGGATTGACAATCATTACATTCAGTACGAATGAAACAAAAAGCATCTGTATTTGTGTCATTTTTGCTCATTTAGAATAGCCTTAAAAAGATGAAAATACATAACAATTTTGGTTATGTTACTTTTTTCTAAAGCTGTTCAGTTAAAATGCATATTTCCTGTGTGTTTTATATCATCTATAATAAAAAAAGTGAATAAAATATTAGTATGTCTTTGTGCACCTTTTGTTATCAAAAAAGGTTATAAAATCAACTAATAATTACTGTGAGTGTCATGTGACAAAAACAGGCAGAAAGAACACATGGGAGGTGGTTTAATAATTATATCCATGACGGATTGTACATACACCCCGATTTATAGCTGGTGCAATATAAGTTAATCGCCAGATAATAATGTTCTGATGGGATATTTGAGCTCTATTCTTGACAGAGATTTCCCAGATTTCTAATTGAGAAGAATAAACTATAATTGCATTTTTCATACTCCCTGTCCATTAGTCTACATTCTATGTCGCAACATCTGTCTTTTATCCATCAAGTCTTCACTTCCTTCCTTGAGTCCCATCTCAAAAGAGATGGGACTCAAGGAAGGAAGTGAGGACCTCGCTCCGTATCTTCTACCTCCTTTGTTGGTGTCTTTTTGTTGTCATTCCTTCCTTTGTCTTACTGTCCATTATTCATTTGTTTAGATGCTTTCTTCTTCCTATCATCTTGTCCTACTCCCTTGTATCCTGTTTTGTCCTTTTCTACTATCATTCCTTATTAAACTTTTTTCCCCCCATCCTCCTCCTTTTAAATGATAAATTCTCCTTCATCCTTGCCTCCTTATTTCCTTACTTTTCCTTTGTGCTTTTCTTCTACTCTTTATTTCTTTAATTCTCTCTTTCCACCCCTATCTTGTGCCCTATTTTCTTTTTGGTCCTCATGTTCTCTGTTGTGGGTTTTGTATCTAAAGGCGTCCTATTGTAGAAATGTATATAAATTTACAGGGAATTTTGGTTTAGCATTTTAAAAATGAAAAATTTGTAGACAAAATATTTGTGTTCCATAGAAAAACTGTTTAGGAACCCGAGGCTTTGGTTTAAAAAGGCTGTCGGAGAAACTTAAAGTTGAACTGCTTTGGCAGCATCATGTTGTGCTACCAACTGTATGTGCACAATAGCCAAACATTAAAACGGTATCCAATAGCAACTCAGACAAGCATGAGTATTGAATTGAGGGTCGAGGCCACATTTGCCTACAGAAATGTCCCCTTTATAAATTTACTTCATCAGTTTTTCCAAGACTGATCACATGTTCAGTCAAAATCCCCCAAGAACCTTTTGAATTTCTGAAAGATTCTGGTTGAGAGACCTTAAATATACTTGTAGTGATGTATTTGACTTTAAATGTCTCATGCTAGTTAAATTTATTTACAGGCATAAAACATGTAATACATAAAGCTGAAACTTAATGACTATTGTGGTCATGGTGCTTATATGGTCATTCCTGTAAATCCATTAATAGCACATGATGACTGGTGTTCATAAAATAGGTGTCTCAATTCATAAGATATTTAAACACCCAACAGCAAAAAAAAACTCCACTGCTGCAGAGTCTCAAGCGTATTCTAAGCCACACGCCCAGATGTCAGCTAAGAGCTTTCGTCTTGTCAGACAGCTGCCTGGAGACCAACGGGAGCCTGTCAGAGAATACCAACCGAATTGAGCGCAGGCCGGGCACAGAAGGAAACTGTCAGAAACACAACTCTGGGGAGAATGCCAACCCATTCCACAGAGAGAATGAGAAATCATAGGATAAGGTTGATTCTTTCAGCATTACTGCGTGTATGAATGTTAAGGTATGCAAATTCTGAAGAGGTTTTTGACAGTTTGCCTATAGCAGCCACAGAGGATTATACAGACCTAGCTGTGGCCTGCCGAGAAACTTCACGGCTAACAGAGTTGGGATTTGACTGCACACATCAGATAAGAAGCAAACAGAAGAGAACTTGTGGCGAAAAATAAAATTTTCTACACCACAAGTTTAATGCTTAAGAAAATAAATCTTGGTCCACAGGGTTAGAAAAAAAATTTAAGTTTTTCCTTGTTCCAAAAAATATTGTAAGTTTTATGTTTTTGAGCTGGAAGTTTCTGTTACCGTTCAAGGTAACAAATATAAACTGTTTAACGTCACCGATTTAGTTTTTTGTTTAGCTTTTGCATTCAACATTTTTAAGCATCATTAATGAAATTCAACTAATAATAATGAACGATCGTTTTCTGACTGGATTTTATTTTATTTTAGCCTGAATTATTAAACCCTGCCCTTTTTCAAAATCGCCATGCACAGAATGCATCCCTCTCTACAGCACTAGATCCTAAATTAAGTGCAGTATTTATGTCCCTAAGTCATAACATATGTTTAGACTATTCTATTGGAGTCATTTAAATTTTTCACTAAGAGGATAAGCCAAGGTCCCCGACAAAGATGTTGGCTATTATGCAATATCCAAGCAGAATAATTTAAAGTTGATTGAAAGAGCATGGGCTGTGGCCAAATCTGGAAACATTTCAGGCTTTTACAGGACAGAAGTTACCACCGTTCGAATCATTGAGTTAAGCAAATCCCAAAACACAATATTTCAACCTGCTCTAAAGAAGACTAGAACGGGGTTCAGTGGACCAAATAGATTTCCTTAGAGTATACTTTGCATTTAAACTGCATTTATTTTAGGGAATCCTTGTACCACAGCCTTACGGAAGGATTAGTCTCACAAAGAACTGACAAATGGAAAGTTTCCACAGTGACCCTAACCCTTTAATTTATGAACACTTCATGCTTCCTTCTAAAAAGCTTTTTCAGCAGCCCTTGCCACCTGTCAACCAAGCTAAAAATGCCCAAATATAGTTTAATGCTGAGTCTGATTGACCAGCAAACATACCTGAACTAGCTCTACACCACGCTAATGCACCCATCCCTGCAAGAAAAGGCCCCTAAAGTAGTGTACAGAAGACCGCTTATAGGAATTTACTGAATTACGAAAGTTTAACAAATGTTTAAGAAAATCTAACTGAAAATACATTAGAGAGGCTAGTGGGTCACTGTTTAGTGGTTCCTTACCTTTTACTTCACTCACTGATTGTTTTTCAGCTGAACATGATCATAAAGTGGATAAAATTGTCAACATTTAGCACAGTTTTTATATACATATATTAATGAAACAATACAAATCCAAGTTTAAACCTTTTAA